TTAAATTTTTATTATAATTAACTACTTAATAATTGAGAGATTAGGACTACACGTAACAATCAACGAGCGTTGATAATAAATTATAATTACCAATCAATACACAAATCAGAACCAGGTATTGTGTCACCCTTTAATAAACTTTTTTCATTCCATTTRAATTGCGTCGTTATGTTAAACATTTCTTGGTATGTTTCAAGTATTTTGCAAAAGTCCCTTTTCTCTTCGATTTTGCTATGGGTAAATAGGTACATTTTAAATATATTGATATTCTATGAAAAAATATTTAATAYTATTAAGGCTTTTTATTTTACCTCCCAAAAACGCTCAGCGTTGATGGTCTTTGAATTGATGACGATCTTATCTGTTTTCTGTGAATTCAAAGATAACAAACAACAATAATATGAATAGTGTATATAAATTAGATACCTACGTTAATTAATGAGTATGACAAAGTAAAATGTAAACGGTCATCGCGTACTTGGAAAGGATTTTGGGTTGTGCTAYATGAATTCCGGCCAACGACCTTTCCCAGTCCAATGGGATGGCTTGAATAGCATTTTTAGGTGGAACTGATAGCGATCCGTGTTTGAAAAACCACTCGTACAGCGGTTCATCGGACTGAGCGTAATAGCACTGAAGACCGGCATTCGGTATTTCCTGATACGCGGCGAACTGACACTTATCATCCGATACAGCAGTCACGACTGGCGGATTCAAGACGATCGGTCGGCAAGACGGGTCGCTGTTATAGAAAATGTTTCTGGCATTTACGATCCATTCCCCTTCCAGAGGTTCGATGACATCTGGCGGATAATCATTGAAGGGGCACACTGGCACWGGATGGTTGAGCCCCATGACCAGTAACTTGACATAGTCGTACTTGAGCGTGTCGTTCGAATGTGTCTTCAATTTGTTCAGCCATGTCGAGTATTTCGATACAACTGTAGATGGAAACGATGCCAAACGATTGGTGTTAAATAATTTTATAATAATAYATCATGTAATAATGTTATGGATTTGAATATAAAATATCGAATATAAATAATAACGATCCCACAGAATATAATCATCCGTATTTTAGTAAGTGATTTGGCCTCGCATTAGCCCAAATGAATGGTATTTTAAAATTATTATAGAATACCTATGTGTCTTAGTTTAAAATAATCATTTATTAGGTATTAATTTCACTTACCATTTGTGTCATCATTTCTGATTATTACTAACTTAACTATTCGAGCATAAAATTCAAACATGTCTGCTATATTATTTTTGGAGTTTTCYTTTGATAACGAACTGTCTTTTTTGATTGAATTGCTTAATTTGGTATTAGTTGTCATTTTTAAAAGTTAACAAAGTGCGTGTACGTATGTTCAGATTATGAAACTATAAATTTTCAAAAATTTCAGAATAA